TGGGATTCAGCTCATCAGACTGGAACTGTTCTTGGCATGATTTCGAATGAGACGTTCCTCTCTTCTCTTCCATATTCCCCTGTTAGTCTTTCGGATTCATCGCTTGCATTCACTTTTTATGTGTGTGACCATGCTCCTCAAAAATAAATGATAATAGTACTTATGGACTTGAAAAAAAAATCAATCATTTTCAAGACTCGCTGAAAATGAGTTATACCATTAAAGTCGATCATAATTTACTCCGCTTGCACAACGTTCTGTTTCACATTTCAGATCGCTACAAAATACCGCAAGCAAATATCACTGGACCTGTTGCGCACGATGCCAAACAATATTCAGTTCGACAGTTTGGAAGCTCCAGGAGTGAGTCAGAATTGGAGAAAAACAATCTGAACCTACAAGATCACCATCTCTTTTTTTAGAAGCTTATTCAGCTTTTTTGAGTTTGATTGGCTGTTATGATGCAGCTTGCTTTGATAAAACCTGAGCGAGGATAAAACAGACTTTGTGCAAAGTACATTTGACCAGTTTCTATACAAATTAAGTGCACCTTTCGAGATTAAAATATGCTGTATTAAATTTTGTAGTGGAGAAGCAAGACGCCCGACCAGCAAGTGTCCTTGTTCACTGAGCTGGGCAATTTTATTGCATTCCCACGCACCACTACGCTCCCCAAAAACGCACTGGTGATGTCACCCCGATTGGTGATGAAACGTTCGCAATCAGATTGCCCAGCTCGGAGAACAGGCCAAAGAACACCTATCTACGCTGCTTCAGCTACCAACATTTTCCTCTATAGAAAAACATTTCGCTGTTGAGAATTCTCGGTGATATTTTAAATGCAGTAAGGTGAATAAATGAAGAGATCAAACAAACAAACGTTCACTTGTACTCTGATTTTGTGCCTAGCTTCCAAGTCACCTGAGGGAAGTACGATGGCTGGGGTACTGCCAGGTTGCCTAAGCCTAGATATGGGAAGTTGACATGCAGAGGTTATGTTCGAATCACGGACTTTTCAACCAGTATGTTCGGAACTTCCCCACTGAGCTACTGCTTACTCAGTACGGTGCATGCTACAGAACCAGTCATTTAAGATCATTTGTCAATAGTTCCGTTATAAAATTCCTAAAGAGCCTTGGATTTTAGAGTGCTTTACAAACAACATTTCATGAACCGACCCTGAATGAATCCCGTAGCTCGTCATATTTTAAGATGTATTATTAGGCTACAGCCTGGCTGCGTGCAAAACAAAGTGGTTCGCGAAACTATCTCGGATATTTCGAGGTATTCTTAGATTTCAACTGGAATTTCTTCCTGGAAGTAAGCTTCATGTATGTTGAGGAATCAAAAAGCGACGTCCAGCTGTTCCAAGCTTGTTTAAAATCATCAATATCATAAGTTCTGGAGAGGGCGACTTTGCGGTCGGTAGGTCGCAGTTGGGGCTGGTCAGCGGTATCGTTCTCCTTCACCTGGACAGGTTACTATGCCACTCAAACTTCGGTAGGAAGTTTCTACTTTCTGACTGGTTTCCTGAGTGATAACTTCTCAGAGAGAAAGAAGAACTTTGCTTACTTATTTACTTACTCTGTCGTGTGAAAAAGTTCGAAAATGGATTAGTTTTCAGTTACGGCTCCGAGTCTCGGTAAAGATTCATGAAGCCCGCATTACCGATTATCACCCCGAGTGACACAGGTTAACTTCAGTTGCAAGGAAGAATGACCGCCGTTTTCAAAGCCAGTAAGGCTGTTCTTTTACTCTACTGAACACTTACAAATGCGAAATAGAATACCATTCGTGACATATTGAAAGGCCCGAAGAAAGCCGCAGTCCCAAAAATAGTGGTTTATAAAATCAGAATAACTCGAAAGATCCAACAACCATGAATATAGAGTTGCCAATAAAATGTTCTCTTACCGTGACTTTCTTTTAAGCTAAATGTAAGGACGGCAACATCAGTTTTGAGTTAGATCTCGCCAGTTGTGCCTTTCTTCAGGCATGCTAAGATTTGCACTGCGGCCGCTTACCACAGCAAGCGAGGGTGCTTCCTCTATTTTCCAAGCACACCGGCTTCTCATCTGCCATAGACCCCTGTTCTTTTCTTGAAAGTACTATTTTCCACACTCATTCAAACTAACGAAGACGCCATCTGATCTCTTCATTTCAATCCTCAAACAGATCCAGAAGTTACAAGAAATTCTCCAGGCTTATAGTATTCACAACCCGGCTGTCGGTTATTGTCAAGGAATGAACTTTCTTGTGGCGATAGCCCTCCTGTTTCTGAACAAGGAAGATGCATTCTGGTAAGTGACTTGCCCACTCACTTTGTGTTGAAGTTTCTATTCCTTATGAATTGAGCAAACATGTTTGGTGGACCGCATTGATGGTCCACGGTATTTTTAGCTTTCTGTCGGCTGTTTGCACTCCTATTTAACTGATTTTGGAAGTGAATGCGGCTCTCCAGGTGTCCTTTCACCAGAGTCTTTCTCTCTGGATAATTCTTTTGTTTCATCACCCCTCTTCTTCATATGAGTCTTTGGAGTTCTATCGTTGAAGACAAAGTTGCTCCCGTCTAATGCGCCTTTGAGACCGTTTCGAACGTGACAGTCAAACGCATCCAGAGTGCCGTTTGGTTACTCCCCTCACTGGAAGATAGACCACGGGTGATGTGGTAATAACCATTGGTAGCAACTTAAACAAGAACGTTGATCCTTCACTGCTGTGCACCTTGTTAATTTGTCCGAAAAAAAACCTTATAGTTCTATAGAGAGAGAAAATGGAACACGGTAGGATACCTACGTCTGGCCTCCTTTTCCGGTCCACGCTCAACAGTTCTGATATTTCGTGATTACCAAGTGCTTCTTGCTGTACACATCATACTTCTTTCAGTTTCCTTCCAAGCTACATGCAAATATAACGACGGATTTGTCCTTCACGTATTCAAGACGAAGGGATGTGTGCCATTTTACAGGAGTAGAAATAGGATACTGTGTTAGGTAAATATTTAGTTGAGCAACGCCAGGTATGTTGAATCCACGAACGATGGTTTGTACGTAATAACCGAGTCGGGAAGCGCCATTTGATACATGCAAATTAAATTGAATTAGCTTCTGGTTGCTCAGTTGGCGGAATTTAGGGCGCCCAAAACTACTGAGGGAACTCATACGTATGTGCAATTTCTTCTGATCAACTAGCAACTCGTGCCACCTGTTTTTCCTTATATTTTCTTCGTCAAACAAACAAGTGTGTGAATATGTTTCGCAATTATCTGCTTAGGAAAATCAAAACAACTACTTTCGGATCACACAGGACTAAATCCGCGCGGTGAGACGGACATTGGCCTGATAACTAGCGTATGTTGAATTTGGTTGTTGGAAATGTCCTGAATATTTCTCATTCTAAATTACCTGAACTTGATTGTAGTGCTGGAAAAGTAAAACGACCTGTTGTACGAGGCTTTTCTGCAGTTGTTTTCCCTTGTTACTCTCGAAACGATGTGGACACTGGTCAAATTCTCTACAATTTCTACCCCTGAACAAAGTTCAACATATCAGTCACGAAGTTCACCTAGATGCTCTTGGGGAACACAGATGGCCACAGTACTAATTACGACCATCCACGTGGACTGTACGTTAACTGGTTCTATTGTCTTTTTAGGTGTTTAACCGCAATTCTGGAACGATACCTCCCCAAGAAGTACTTTAACTGTGGTCTGATCAGCGCTCAGGTCGATCAGCTCGTCCTCAAAGATTTGTTGGCCAGCAAACTACCTCAGCTTGCTGAACACATTCAACGAATGGAAATTGATATCAGCGCAATAACTTTGAATTGGTTCCTCGCCATCTTCTATGATTCTGTGCCTTTTGAGGTGAGTTATATACTTCACATTTCAAGATTTAATTCTGGGTACCGATTTTTTCCAAGCTCACTCAAATCACTTAGCCATAAGATAAAAGGTGCCATAGATGTTATTGGATGATCTTCACGAGATCGCCACCAGACAGACTGAGATTTGTTGTAGCTTATCAACCCGGTCGATATGGCTAACCACAGATCTAAATTCGAAGGCAAGTAGTGATATAATCAACGATACTTAGTCAAAGGTTTGAAGTATTTTCTTTCACTCAGCTTCCCTTTTCTCATAGTTCTGGATAGGCCAAGCAAATATACTTGTGTAGACAGGTGGTCACATAGTGGAAGGACCAGTAATGTGACACTTGAAAGAGTTGCGCTTAGCCACTTGGTTTCATCACCCGAGTCTGTTAATTAAACATGATACTCTCTAAATTCTATTAGCCGAATTACATTTTTGAATATCCCTTTGCCACGCGTAATCTTATATCTCAAGCAAAGCTTCAGTACACAGCTGCTTGTCGTGAAGTTTTATATTCAGGCTGAGTAGAATGCGTGACCACATCGATACGTGACCACGTGATGGAGTTTCTGTGATTGAAAGATGAGCGACGCTATATCCTTTCTAACTGTGAGATAATCACGCTGCCGTTCAGCTGGTGGTCGTCGAACATAAATGGTTTAAACCGCTAGCCGCGGGTTCGAGACTGCCTGGAGTTTCATGAGATGTGCACTACCGATGTTTCTCAGTCGGGATCAAACAGCTGTTCGGTGCTGCTCGCCTTTTCATCATAGATTGGGTTCGCCAACAGGGCGAAATTTTCCTCTTGCGAGCTTCAGCCTCCCGAATTTTACTGAAACTGAAGTGGAGCAAACCAACAGGACAAGAGTTCATATTATGACTCCCACTATAACAGTCTGGTCAACTTTAAGGTGCCTTAAAAACTGACAAAAGCCATGTATGTTAAATATACTGAGGGTACGGTCATAAACCGTACGTTGACTCTAAAATACTTTTAATGTAAATGAAGTTTTTGGCCAGTTTATCGGTAAACTAAAATACCTACTGTCTGGTCGACGGTGTGCCGATCTCATCTCACTTGAAAATCGATAATTTCTCCTCTCATCTACAGGGTTCTATAAGGCGATTGGCCGAAATCCCCCGAGGTTTTAAGAATGCTTTCCTTCTGTCAATTTTCCTTACTGGTGGCTTTAGAAACAGTTGAGTTGGATAGTGACAGTGTGCCCAAATACTGCTGTGTTGGGGAGTTTATCGGCTGTCGTTTTGGTGGTTGTTGATCTGCTCGCCGAGTTCGTCCACGTACTGACGATTTCCCCTCGCACGGTGACGAAACGTTTGCAGTCGTCATCATCATCATTGTCAGCTACGATAACCGCGTACTTGTCATACAGTGGTTGTAGCTGCCACAGTTTCGTTCACCGATGATTCGGGGAAGTGTGGTAGGTAGCTGCGCATTGGAGACGGGAGCTGATAAATTGCTGCGCAAATACGGCACAGACAGTGGACTTTTAAGTGGGGGGATCGAGAAGGGAGCTATACATTGAAGGCAATAGCTTGGATGAATGAGCGCCATTGGCGGCGCGACTGGGCCATGTCTGACAATGTCCCTAACCACTGATGTGACCCGTCTCAGGGTCCCCATCCAGGAAGACGGCAATGACTAGCGCATCTGAGTTTTCTGGTAATGGCTTTTATACTTCGCTGCTAAGTCACTGTCTGACCGCGTCTGGCTAAACTTCTACCCTTCACGTGATTGTGGGAAAAGGGCCCTTCGAGGAAGTCCGTCGACTGGCACGTGGACAAGCCAGCGCAACCCATGCGGTGTGCAAGCTGATTGCCGAACTCGGTGAATAGATCAGCTGCCACCTGATCAACAGGCAACAACTTCCATAATTTTGCATGGGAATTATTTTAAATCCTGTTCCACTGGACCGTACTACTGATTTTCTGGAAGCCAGGAATTATTTGGTCTCCTCTTGACAGGATGGAAACCACACCAAGAGTAGTACAACCAAACTAATGGAGTTTAATCAAGCTACCACTGATTTCTATATGGCACACTTTTTCGTGCGGCTGAATGAGTGGAATGGGTATCGGCTATGGGACTATGTGGGGTACAAACCCCTATTTCAAAAGCCACCGGCATACATCTGGACAATACCTCGTTTTTAAGTGTAGGTCTTTCAGTTTCGAACGATTAATGCTTCAAAATCTAGCTGGTATTAAACACACCATAACAGTGGTACTAATTTTGGTTTTAAAAGCCGCTACATAATCAACAACAAGGCTGTGGAATGAATTCATTCTGTAGGCTCCCTTGCAAAACACAACGTGTGCAACAGCATAAGTTCCTACAGTAATTAAATAAATTCAAAATAAATTGTCATTCATTAAATCCATGGAAGCCTCAGGGTGACCCTATTTAGCAGGGAGAAACAGTAATCTACATGGACTCGGTGAAATTCAGTCCTTTCGGCCGCTTGCTTCTTGCTAAGACCTTCCTAACACTGTGATTTTAGTTCAATTCTGCTTTATTGATTAGATTCTTAGTAATCGATAATCTGACACTGGAATATATTGGAGTTGGGCTTGGGTCAGCTGACGTGGTTCGGAGTTTTTCAGCCATTTTACCCCTCTTGCCAATTCTGTTGATACACATAGCACTACAGCTGTGGCTCGACAAGTTGAAGATAAAATTGGCTTTGGCATTTGCTTAGTGAATATCTAGCAAGTTCTGTCTGCACTGCCTTTGATCAATGAACTTGTGGGTAGAGCCTTCTGTTGAATAAATCCTTGGTCCTGTTCGAAAACCCAAATATCCCATCAAATTCATTCAAACATGACCGTAGGGTCTGTGACCGGCTACGCCGACTGACTGACCTTAAAAACCCCATTGTCCATCGATTTCTTGCTTGAGATCAATAACCTTCGTGGCTTGCCGGACCAACCACGTCAAAGGCTAATAGAGTACATCGCACAGGCCTGCCTGTTTGAAGGCTAGATCAAAAAATCTTGACAAAAGCATACGATATTTTCTGGTGCAACATACTACTGGAAGTTTCCTATTTGAACAACATTGAACAGCATAGTTGAAATTGCAAGGAGAAAAACTACTACAGTTAAATTAAGAATAAGTAAGTTTAAGTGTGTAAAAATGTGTATGTATATTCGCTCGGCTGCGAATAAATGTATAGAGATGTTATGGTCAGGATAGTCTAAGATATCTGAAGTTGGGGGACAGTACATTCATTGCGGCTGTGTGACAGCCTTCATCACACGTTCCAGGTGTAAAACTTCAATGGTTTACAGCTGACCACAGTCTCTACATATTTATTCTTTATTCCTGGATTGAAGTGGTATATCTTGATTGATAGGATGATGGCTCTGATAAGTTTGTAACCCGTGAAGTTGCAACAAAACTGCCGAAAGCACTCGAGATAGGCATGAGGTTAGTTTTCTTTGGCATGCGACCTTGTTACACTCAGTCCATAAAGATGTGGGAAAAATCGTCGCCTCTCTTCCGTGGTCAAAAGTTCATATTGTGGAACTGGTTGCCGTGGGAAGTGAAGCTCCGGTCGAAACGAATCAAACTCAGAATCAACGTAAGAGGGCGGGTCATCCATCAAGTAGGCAAAGTTTTCTTGTTCAGTTTGAGGACTTTCTAAACAAACGAAAAACTGCATGCTATCAAATGGCCTTCCAATTCGAATTAGTACACAGCGCGAGTAAACGGACAAGGCTGGTTGATGACTCCTAAAAATTGACGGACCCCTGGGGTTTGAATGCAAGATCATCAAAATCAACTGTAATTGTAGCTGGTTTCTTTGGATTTACCTGACATTGCGACGAAATCATTGTCTGTGTTGTTCATCCTTGTGCGATATTTCTTATAGGTTAGTCATCAGGTCATCATCATGATCATTGTCAGCTGTAATAACCGCGTACTCGTCGTACAGTGGTTGTAGCTGCCGCAGTTTCGTTCACCAATGATTTGGAGGGGTGGTAGTTAGCCGCGCATAGCAGGCGGGAGCTGGTAAATTAGCGCGCAAATACAGCACTGTCAGCTGTCAAGTGGGGGTTGGAAAAGGAGCTATGCATTGAAGACAATAGCTTGGATGCAGGAGCGCCATTGAGGACGTGACTGAGCCATTTCTGAAAATGTCTCTAGCCACTGATGTGGCCCGTCTCGGGATCCCGATCCAGGAAGACGACAATTTCTAGCGCAGCTGAGTTTGCTGGCAATAGCTTTCATACTTCGCTGCCAGGTCATTGTTTGACGGCCTCTGACTCTCTTCCACCCTTTACGTGGTTGTGCGAAAAGAGCCCTTCGAGGACGTCGGTCGACCGGCTTACGCAGCACGCGGCCAGGCCAGCGTAACTGATGCAGTATGATCAGTTCATCCATCGAGGGTGATTTGTTTCTCCCGAATACCATTCGACGTATTTCAGGATTGCTGATCTGGTGTTCCCACCAGATTCGGGCAATGCTCCGAAGACATAATATCATCTTTCGCCAGACCACTGGGACCAGAAGATTATAATTCCACCAGAAGAGCACGACAGAGATTGGTCTGTTTGAGGATCTTCAGTTTTGGCGAAAGAACAAGATGTACCATCGGCCGTGCCAGATAGCTAGCAGCATCACTGAGAATCTTCCACAAAGACTAACGCCAAACTCCTGCGGGGTATAGATTTATAACTTAGGAAATTTGCACAACTGAATTGTTGAATGAATGAATGAATGAATGAATGAATGAATGAATGAATGAACAGTATCCTCCCAGCCTTCGTGCTTCCTTCTGGTGGCATGGCAGCTAGGCACCGAAAGGGTGCTACAGCTGAATGAATGAATGAATGAATGAATGAATGAATATGTGAGTGTATGAGGGAACAAGACCACCAGTTAGTTGGTGCCATTTTCTTACCTTCGACAGATGGGTCGTTTGTGGATGGTTCCTGTTCAACTGCGGAAACTTGCTTTATCTTGGAATTCA